CTACTTCTAGTTCTAGTTCTAGTTCTACTTCTACTTCTACTTCTACTTTTACTTCTTCTTTTACTTCTACTTTTACTTCTACTTTTACTTCTTCTACTACTACTACTATTACTACTACTACTACTTCCTCTTTTACTTTTACTATTACTATTACTTTTACTATTACTATTACTATTACTATTGCTATTACTATTACTATTACTATCACTATTGCTATTACTATTACTATTACTACCACCACCACACCACCACCACCACCACAGCTACAACTAGAATTACAGCTACACTACATTACACTACAATACACTAATTAAGCTGCAGCACATTACAGCTACAAATACAAATGCAACTAGAACCACACTACATTACACAACACTACACTACACTAATTACATTACATTCCTCTACTACTGCAACTACCACTACATTGCACCACACGACGCTACACTACAACTACAACTACATTACTTTACACTACAACACTAGGCTACACTACGCTATACTACGCTACAGTACACAACACTACACTACACTACAGTACACTACACTAATTACACCACGCCACAACTACAACTGCAACTGCAACTACATTGCGCTAATTACACAACATTACAGCTACAACTTACAACTACAATTCCACCACACCTACAACTACAACTACCACTACCACTACCACTACCACTACAACTGCACTACCCCACACTACATCCAGCAGTTGTGGTAAGGTGCCCACTGCAACCATTGCAACCACTCCATAAAACACAACTCCAACCACCTTTCGGTCCATCAGTGGATTCGCTCTGCCATCCGTGAGCAACCAACCTCTCCTCTAGGTTTCCTATTTTTGACACTTCTGCCACCGCCTTGCGCGGTACTACTGGTACTGGGAAGTGCTGTGTGCAAGCTTTGTAGTACAAAGTAGTACTGGGAAATACTTTGTGCAAGCTTTGTAGTACAAAGTAGTACTGGGAAGTACTTTGTGCAAGATTTGTGTTACAAAGTAGAACTGGGAAGTGTTTTGTGCAAGCTTTGTAGTACAAAGTATTGGGTCTGGGACGTACTATGTGCAAGCTTGGTGGTACAAAGTAGTATATACTAGGAAGTACTTTGTGCAAGCTTTGTAGTACAAAGTAGTACTGGGAAGTACTTTGTGCAAGCTTTGTAGTACAAAGATGTACAAAGTAGTACTAGGAAGTACTTTGTGCAAGCTTTGGAGTACAAAGTAGTACTGGGACGTACTATTTGCAAGCTTCATAGTACAAAGTAGTACTAGGAAGTAGTTTGTGCAAGCTTTGTAGTACAAAGTAGTGCTGGGAAGTGCTTCGCGCAAGCTTTGTAGTACAAAGTAGTACTGGGAAGTAGTTTGTGCAAGCTTTGTAGTACAAAGTAGTGCCGGGAAGTAGTTTCTGCAAGCTTTGCGGTGCAAAAAAGTACTGGGACGTACTCTTTGCAACGGTACTAAGTTGTACTGGGGCCTCCTGTGTGAAAACATTGTTGTACAAAGTATATAGTAAGTGCTTTGTGCAAGCTTTGTAGTACAAATTAGTACTGGGCAGTGCTTTGTGCAAGCTTTGTAGTACAAAGTCGTACTGGGACTTTGCAGTACGAAGTAGTACTGGTAAGTGCTTTGTGCAAACAAGTTTGACAAGGTTCTGTGCGTAAAAGCTTCTGTGTGTAAAGTTTCTCTGTGTAAAAGCTTCCGTGTGTAAGCGCATCTGTCTTTAAAGGTTTCTCTTTGTAAAAGTTTCTCTGCATAAAGATTTTTTTGTGTAAAAACTTTTCTGTGTAAACGTTTGCTGTGTGTAAAAGTTTCTTTGTGTAAAAGCGTGCTGTGTGTGTAAAAGCTTCTGTGTGTAACAGTTTGCTGTGTGAAAAAGTTTCTCTGTGTAAAAGCGTGCTGTGTGTAAACACTTGCGGTGTGAAAAAGTACTCTGCGCGCGCAAAAGATTGTAAAAACTGTTTGTGTGTAAAAGTTTGCTGTGTGTAAAAGCTTGCTGCATATAAAAGTTTCTCTGTGTGTAAAAGTTTGCTATGTGTAGAAGCTTCTGTGTGTAAAAGGCTCCTCTGTGTAAAATTTCTGTGTAAAAGAGTGCTGCGTGACTGCGTGTAAAAACTTCTTATGTGCAGAGGTTTTCTGTGTGTAAAGACTTTTCTGTGTAAACGCATCGGTGTCTCAAGTTTCTGTGTGCAAAGTTTTCTGCGCGCAATGGCTTTTGTGTGCATGAGACTTCTCTTTGACAGTAAAAATTTCTTGATGTGCAGAAGAGCTGAGATGAGTTGAGAAGAGCTTCGGTGAATTGAGAAAGGTTGAGCAGTGCTCAGATGAAATGAAACCAGTTGAGAAAAATTCAGATGAGAAGAGAATAGATTAGCTGAGATGAGGTGAGAAGAGTTCAGATGAGATGAGATGAGATGAAGTGTGGAGTGTGAAGTGTAAGTGCGAAGTGTGAAGTGTGAAGAGTGCAGTGTGAAGTGTGGAGTTTCAAGTGCGACCTTTGGAACAACGCATCGCTGTCGCACAAAGCACGCACGCATGGGCCTGGCTGGCGCACGGCGCATGCAAGTTCTATAGATGAGAAAGGTCTTATAGCATAACCCTAAGGCAGCTTCCGCCCCGCCTCGTGCGGGCACTACTGGTATGTACACCGCACCTGCAATTGCAAAGAACACATAAATTTACAGTTTACACATGTTTACACTGTATTTACCCCAGATCTAATGTAATAATACAAAAAGTACAAATGTATACAGGTGGGTCAAGTGATATCAAATGGCTAGAATATTGGTGCTTCAGATGTTTTCTCTAGTTTGTGCCTACTATTTTTCTTTCGCTGCACAAGTTGTTCGCAAAGTCATCTAGAGCGCAAAGCCGCCGTCCCAGGTGTTGAGTCGGATGCCATGCTCCCACAAAGCCTTTCCGCGGCATCCAAATCACTTGTTGACGCGCTGACAGCTGCAGATGTGGAGCTGCTATTCTCAGCATGCACGAATCCAGGACACAAACGCTTGTTGCGAGCGTTGCTGGGCAAACCTAGCGTCAGTTTGTGCAATATTGTGCCGTTGGGTTTCTGAAGATTCTAAAGCTGTGTTGCGGACAAGTAGCCATGAAACTGAAGCAAACATAACCACAACGCAGCCACACTGCGCAAATATTCCAAGAAACATGGCGCCCAGAACGATTGTCCTAAATCATGCAAGAGGTTGGGGTTGGTACTGCAGGTGCAACCCTGTGTCATCTGAACAAGGTCAACTTGATCTGATTGCATCTGATTGCGATTTTGCTGGGTCTAAGGCTGGAGGAAGCTGCGCAAGAAACTTGTGTCAATGTGGTCGCCTGCACCGATGCCCAGAGCGTTGGTTTCATGGCAGACGGCGCCGCACGTTGCTTCATCGGCATGAATTCAACAATTGGAGCTTGTTTGCTCGACTCCGTGGATGCATTTTCGCTACCAGTCTTGTCAGGAGTTGGTGAGGCTTGGCAGGATGGTGTTCCACTTCTATTGCTTGTGCTGAGCCCTGGATTGGAGGAAGGTGCAGAATCTGGTAGCATTGGTCCACTTGCTGAATTCTCCAAGCAAGTGTTCGTAGGTGACCAAAACCTGGCCGAGAAGGTGCGTGCAGCAAGCCAATTGGCTGCTTCACCTCCATGTGCTCCGGTGACAGTGCTCCTACCTCGCAGCGACTTCCTGACAAGTTCTCGTGGTACCAGAGCGGATTGTCCACGTGGACCTTCCCTTGTGGAATGTCACGGGCCAGCATTAGCGTTTCAGCCGACAGTGCCAAAATCTCTGAAGGCACCCCGGTTGCCACTCAAGGATCCTGCGCTTCCTCCTGAAGGTGCCAAAAGAGCCGTGGAATTGTTGTTATCTGCCCACCGCCCTTGGATTCATGTGGGGATGGGTTGCGCCAACCGTACCGCCGACGGTCTGGTACAAAGGCTGGCTGAGTCCCTAGAGGCCCCAGTCTCAACCACCTTTTCTGGGAAGGGGGTGATCCGAGAGGACCACCCACTTTGGCTTTGGCCCATTGCCGGCCCAGCCATGCCGAATCAGCTGAGGGAAGTTGCAGATACATGTGATACAATTCTGATTCTTGGGGCTCAGATGGGTGAAATTGCATCATGCAGAAGGCAGTGGCCTGCAAGAAGGAACACGGTGATACATGTTGATGCAGATCCCTGCGTACTGGGAGCAAACTTCCTACCTGACTTGCCAGTACTGGGAGATGCAGCAGAGGTGCTTGGGCTAATGCTTGAAGAACTTGCGCGCAAAGGTGTGGAGCCAAACCAGCGGCCAAACAGTGCACATGGCAGAGTTCATGATCAGACCTTGAGAGCAGATCTTAAAGCGGCTCATGAATCACTTCTTGCACAGATGCGGGCTGAAGCAGTCGAGCTGCCACTAGCCGGCCAGTGTCCTTCGGCTTAAAATCAAGATCCAGTGACATCATTTGATTTACATTCGTGGTAGCGAATGCGGTGAATGTTTTTCATGATAACTTCGTTGTTTTGCGTTCTTATATTTCACTTATCTCGGTCGGTTATATGGATTCTTTTCGTCCCTTTTTCGTTCCAGGTTCCCCATTTGGGCTGTATGCTGCGCTTCAGAAAGCTGTGGTGCCTGGAAAAGCGGTCTTTGTGTCTGACTCAGGGAATGGAACGGTCCTTGCAGCAGAGTTTCTCCGCTTGGCAGGACCCCGGCGCTTCCTAGCACCAACGGACTTTTCCTCCATGGGTTGCTTGTCCAGACACGCCTTCAGAATTTTTAATAAGACATGTCTACTCACTATTCTATAATGTTCTCATTCTCGGTGGTTACTTACTTGGTTGTTCATGTTGTTCTTTGTTGTTCTTCTCTTCCGACATGCTTCACTTTCATTGATTGATTTCCAGAGATTTTGTTTCCCCTCACATTTTGACCATGTTGTCATGATGTTCCTCGCAATGTGCCACGGTTTGCCATGGCATGCCATGGTTTTTGTACGTCAGCCACCGGACCAGGTTACTGTGTGCCGGCAGCTCTTGGAGCTGCCTTGGCTGGTCGCTCTCGAGGAGAAGAGGTGGTTTGTGTGGCCACCGTCGGCGATGGTTCTTTGGCATGTTTTCATGTTTTTGTGTTTAATTCCATTTAATGTGATTCCAACTCATACATGTAATTGGATTTAACTACTAGGTTCTTGGGGCTTTGATTTTACGCCATATCAATGTATATTATAGATATATATACACACGCACACATATTAGAATTATAATATACATATACATATATATATATATGTATGTATGTGCACAAACATGCATACACAAATGACATAGACTGGTGCGCACACAGGTCATGAATCGTCTCGAGATGTCTCATGCGTGTGGATGTAAGCAATGTGGCTATCGTTGATCCCAGGTGCATTCTTGATGACTGGGCTTGAGATGGCGACCGCTGCGTCTATGAAACTCCCAGTGATTTGTGTAATTTTGCGGGATGGCAGCTGGGCCAAACGTTGGCACAGACACAGGGACAGAACTTGACACAGTCAAAGATTGAAGAGCCATATGCACGGGAAGACTCCGGACATAGTACTGCATACTATGTTAATAGCGACGGTATATGATGGTATGATATGCTACGACCGTGTGTGTGTGTCTATATATATATGTATGTATGTATGTATGGATGGATGGATGTATGTATGTATGTATGTATGTATTGTATGTATTGTATGTATTGTATGTATTGTATGTATTGTATGTATTGTATGTATTATATGTATTGTATGTATTGTATGTAATGTATGTAATGTATGTAATGTATGTATTGTATGTAATGTATGTAATGTATGTAATGTATGTAATGTATGTAATGTATGTAATGTATGTAATGTATGTAATGTATGTATGTATGTATGTAATGTATGTAATGTAATGTAATGTAATGTAATGTAATGTAATGTAATGTAATGTAATGTAATGTAATGTAATGTAATGTACTGTAATGTAATGTAATCTAATGTAATCTAATGTAATGTAATGTAATGTAATGTATGTAATGTACTGTAATGTACTGTAATGTAATGTAATGTACTGTAATGTACTGTAATGTAATGTAATGTAATGTATGTATGTATGTGAGTGTATGTGAGTGTATGTGAGTGTATGTGAGTGTATGGGTGCGTTGTTAATACAAGTTACAGGTCTAGTATTCTTATTTGTCATAAAAATATAAGTGAGAACTTTTCGGCAGGAGGCTGTTCAGTTTGTCTCCCAGCCTGTCTCTCTAAGTCTCTCCCATCATCATGGCCCGCAGTCTGCCGGGGGCGCTGTTCAGCGTGTCCCTGGGCTGGTCTCATAGTATCCTGCCTTCGGGTCCGAGCATTGGCCCCCTATGGCTAGAAGTCTGATGCTACGCTGCTACACAATCTGTCTCCCAGATCGCAAAGATGCCCAAAGTCTGTCGTGGGTAGTGCTTCGTCTCCCATGACATCTACCAGACTGTGTCTAACTCCCAGCATGGTGATGCTAAGTGAACGTGATTGGTACCCAGCCATCTTCGGAAAACTGATGAAAAAAATGAAAAAAGCAAACTATCGACTCCCTTTTCCATCCTTTTCCTATGTGGATGTTGTTGTTTAGTTTAAATTAATCTAAGAATCCGAATAGTAAGCAGGACATCTGGTTTGGATCTGATGGCAGGATCCTCCGAGCCATCCAGCATTTTTTCAGTCTTAGGAATATCTTGGGATGTTTAGCTTTAGAAAGGTTTTCTTACTTTTTCTTGGCTTTCACAAGTTTCTGTACACCTCAGACCAAATGGACAAACATCTTCTTTTCCCACCTGATTTGCAAGCAATGACGGTTGTTATCTTTTTTGGAACCCATTGGGTATTTCCCATTTCCCCCACCTGTCCTGCAACGATTGATGAACCCACTTGAGCTTTCTGGTGATTTATGCCTGGCGACCATTCCTGTTCGGCCTTAATAGATGCACATCCCTGCGTATTAAACAGTTTTAGTATCCAAATATTGCCGCAGCAGCAGCAGGGTCAACCATCTACCCAAGCATGACTTGACAATCCTTGATATTTCTATTTGACAAGTAATTAGACGGATAAAGGTGCAAATCAGAAATTCAGAGAGAGAGAGAGTGTGTGTGTGAGAGAGGGAACATAGCAGGCATACATGGTCCTGGTTCTGGATGTTCTGGTTGTTTCCATTTTCCTTTGCCCAAGGTGAGCTTGGCATGATTTCCGGGCTTCAGCGAGCCCAGCAAAATGAAGTGTATTGTACACATGTGCCTGAGCGAATGGATATGGTGCTACTGGGCAAGTCTTTTGGCATCCCATCACGGCGTTTGACGTCTGACGGAGAGGCGGACGAAGTCGCTGAATGGGCTTACAAGCACTGCAGCAGTGGCAAAGGGCCCGTTCTCATCGAGGCGATGGTGTGCTATGGGGCTCCGTCTTTCTACGCGCGAGGTGCCACAGGACAAATGCCAACTGCTCAGGTGAATCCTCTTCCAACTGAACCTTTACCTTTGGTCCAGCTGCCAGTGCCCTCGCCCAAAGACGCAGCATCAGCCTTCACCAAAAAGGCACTTGAACACCATGGCCGTTCAAATTCATGGGACATAGCAGAATGTTTGCGGATGGCATTGGCAAGCCACAACAATGACAAGCCCAATGCAATCCAGGACCCAGGGTGCTGTGACATGCTGTGACAATTCTAGTGGAAATGCATGCAGCCTGCAAGTATCCAGGTAGTCTTGATGAGCAAGTCCTTAATCAGAAGCGAGTTTGGGGTTCCCAGATCTTGTGAGTCTCTTAACTCTTGCGAATTGCGAACATGAACAATTGCCCAGCAAAACCACTGAAGTGACTGAAATTGAGATTTTGTCATGTCCTTCGGACAAATGATGTTGAGGATGGCGAACTCAGCTGGAGCTATGCCCAAATGGCTGCCAGAGTCTTCCTTTTGCGGGAAGCCTTGAAAGGATGTGGCATCCAAGCCGGAGAAAGGGTTGGCATCATCTTGCCGAACTCTTCAGCACATCTGGTCAGGGTCTGAGGAGTAAAGTAAAGCAGTGCCCAACAATCGATATCAGTTGAGATTGAGTAGGTCACTGAATGTCACTGACATGCTACAGGCTTATAGGTCACTTTGACTTCAGCCAGCGCTTTCCCTGGCAGGTTTCGCATTATGCAGTGACAGCTCCAGGCTTGCGGGCTGTGGCGCTCAACCTGAGTCCTCGGCTGCAGCCTCCTGAACTGTTGAGGCGCATTGTCCCAACAATTGCGAAGGCATCAGTCTGATAAGATACAGAATACAGAACGCATCAAACTAGCATATACCCAAACGATGACTTTCTTCTCGTGATTTGAAATGTGCGCCGTAGTTGTGGTTACAACGTGCTCTCGCATGGGCGCGCGTTCGCTTCGGTCGTATTTTTTCAATCGCTTTGGTCGTATATTTACATCGCTTCGGTCGCTTTTTTTAATCGCTCTGGTCGTAAAGGAGATATTTCTTCATCTACTGAGCCCTGGACCTCGTTTCTTGGTCTCCCCCGTTCCTGGTTCTTGGGTTCTTGGTTCTTGGTTCTTGGCTCTCCGCCCCAGGTTCCTGGTTCTTGGTTCGTGGTTCTTGGTTCTTGCTCCTGGCCTCGGTCCGGGTTCTTGGTTCTTGGTTTGCGGTCCCTGGTTCTTGGTTCCGGGTTCCTGGTGCTTGGTTCTTGCTGCTGGCTTCCTTCCTGGTTCTCGGTTCTTTGTGTGGTTTCGGGTTCTTTCTTCGTTTCCGGTCCTAGGTCCTTGGTTCGTCGTTCCTGGTTCTGGACGACAGCAGCGATCACTTCCACGCACGCACGCAAGGCGATAACGGCTGCCATTGATGTACATCGATAGCAGAAGTGACGCGTGACTTTGCATGTAAGCCGAACAGCATGTCAAACTTGAGATTTCCTCAACCTAATGCGTGGCACGGTTGCGGTATCGCGCTTGTTACTTTCTTGGTCATAGACATAAATATGTTATTTATATCTATTATATCTATTGTATCTATCTATTTGTCTATTTAACTAACCTATCTATCTATCTATCGATCTATCTATCTATTTACCTATCTATCTGTCTGTCTATCTATCTATCTATCTATCTATCTATATACTATCTATATACTATCTATATACTATCTATATCTATCTATATCTATCTAGCTCTATCTATATCTATGTATCTCTATCTATATCTATCTATATCTATATCTATATCTATCTATATCTATCTATATCTATCTATATCGATCTATTTCTATCTATATCTATCTATATCTATCTATCTATATCTATCTATATCTATATATATATATCTATCTATCTATATCGATCTAAATCGATCTATATCTAACTATATCGATCTATATCTTTCTATATCGATCTATATCTATCTATATCTATCTATATCGACCTATATCTTTCTATATTTATCTAAATCTATCTATATCTATCTATATCTATCTATATCTATTTATCTATCTATCTATATCTATCTATACCTATCTATATCTATCTATATCTATCTAGATCTATCTAGATCTATCTATATCTATCTATATCGATCTATATCTATCTATATCTATCTATATCGATCTATATCTATCTATATCTATCTTTATCTATCTATATCGGTCTATTTCTATCTATATCTATCTATATTTATCTCTTTCTTTCTCTTTCTATCTCTTTCTATCTCTTTCTATCTCTTTCTATCTCTTTCTATCTTTCTATCTAGCTATCGATCTATCGATCTATCGATCTATCGATCTATCTATCTATCGATCTATCGATCTATCGATCGATCGATCTATCTATTTATCTATCTATCTATCGATCTATCGATCTATCGATCTATCGATTTATCGGTCTATCGATCTATCTATCCTATCCTATCCTATCCTATCCTATCCTATCCTTCCTATCCTATCCTTTCCTACCCTACCCTACCCTATCCTATCCTATCTATCTATCTATCTATCTATATCTATCTATATCTATCTATCTATCTTATCTATTCTATTCTATTCAATTCTAATTCTAATTCTAATTCTATTCTATTCTATTCCATTCTATTCTATTCTATCTATCTATCTATCTATCTATCTATTCTATCTATCTAATCTAATCTAATCTAATCTAATCTAATCTAATCTAATCTAACTATCTATCTATCTATCTATCTATCTATCTATCTATCCTATCTATCCTATCTATCCTATCTATCCTATCTATCCTATCTATCTTATCTATCTTATCTATCTTATCTATCTTATCTATCTTATCTATCTTATCTATCTTATCTATCTTATCTATCTTATCTATCTTATCTATCTTATCTATCTTATCTACCTTATCTATCTTATCTTTCTTATCTATCTTATCTATCTTATCTATCTTATCTATCTTATCTATCTTATCTATCTTATCTATCTTATCTATCTTATCTATCTTATCTATCTTATCTAGCTTATCTATCTTATCTATCTTATCTATCTTATCTATCTTATCTATCTTATCTATCTTATCTATCTTATCTATCTTATCTATCTTATCTATCTATCCATCTATCCATCCATCTATCTATCTATCTATCCATCTATCTATCTATCTATCTATCTGTCTATCTATCTATCTATCTATCTATCTTATCTATCTACCTATCCCATCTATCCCATCTATCCCATCTATCTCATCTGTCTTATCTATCTTATCTATCTTATCTATCTTATCTATCTTATCTATCTTATCTATCTTATCTTTCTTATCTATCTATCTATCTATCTATCTGTCTGTCTGTCTATCTATCTATCTATCTATCTATCTGTATATCTAACTATCGATCTATCGATCTATCTATCTATCGATCTATCGATCGAGCTATCTATCTATCTTTCTTTCTTTCTTTCTTTCTTTCTATCTTCTATCTTTCTATCTATCTATCTATCTATCTATTTATTCTATCTATCGATTACTGCCGTCTGGCAGCAATGTGTATATATATATATACATTCATTTTTTAAACGCGTGTGGCAGTCCTGCCAGCAACATCCTCATTATACCAATGTTTTGCTGCATTCTGCGTTGTCGTACTGCGCTGCTGCATTGTGACCTGGCTCTGCACCAAAGCCTCCCAGACCTTCACCGGATCCTTCTCCGGACCGTGTTGAACCTGACCTGGCTCTGCACCGAAGCCTCCCAGACATTCTGCGGAACCTTCTCCGGAACCCTGTTGAACCTGACCTGCACTAAAGCCTCCCCGACCTTCTCCGGAACCTTTTCCGGAACCCTGTTGAACTTGACCTGGCTCTGCACCAAAGCCTTCCGGAACTTTCTCCAGAACCTTCTTCGGAACCCTGTTGAACCTGACCTGGCTTTGCCACTCATGATCCTCCTGCCGCCCGGCCAGCCCAGCGGACCAGCGGATCAGCGGATCAGCGGACCAGCGGAGCTGCGGATCAGCGGATCAGCGGATCAGCGGATCAGCGTACCAGCGGACCAGCGGATCAGCGGACCAGCGGATCAGCGAACCAGCGGACCAGCGGATCAGCGGATCAGCGGATCAGCGGATCAGCGCTTCAGCGCTTCAGCGGATCAGCGGATCAGCGGACCAGCGAACCAGCGGACCAGCGGAGGAGCGGTGCAGCGGATCAGTGGACCAGCGGATCAGCGGATCAACGGATTATAGCAGATCAGGGGATCAGCGGGCCAATGGATCAGCGGACCAGCGGATCAGCGGGCCAGTGGATCAGCGGATTAGCGGACCAGCGGATCTGCAGATCAGCCGAGCCTGGGCAGCATCCGCTGAGCTGATAATTTTTCGATGCCCTATGCCTTTTTTTCCCATGGTATCAACTAGGTTATGGAATATCTTTTGGTGAATAATTGTCAAGGAATAATTTTTTCAAGGGGTAGGCATACGAGGTTTTGGAATAATTTTCTACAACTTAAAACATCTTAAAACATCTCGAAGCAGCCTATACGTTCCTACATTTGGCCTGGCCCTTCCAAAAGCCATTCCTAGCCTGGCGGTGTTTGCCTGAAAGCTTTTTGCTGGAAATGCCAACTGCAGTTGTTTGAGGCATCATGCAGTTTGGGCAATTGCTGCCAACTAGTGTCCAACGGACCACCTTTCTTTCACGGTCCTTTCTCTCGAGAGTTCTTTGGATGGCAACGAAGGGAATGTTAGGAAAATGCCTGGGAAAAGGCCAGGTTGAGTGCGATTTTGTGGGCTTTCCCCAGGGGAGAAATTATTCTAGGGGTATTGGAGATGCCTGGTACCCCTCAAAAACCAAAGTGGGCAGCTAATCACCCAATTAGCCCAGAAACAAATGAAACCCAAACATTCCCCACTCATTCCCACTATGGCCAACGGGATTTTTTTTGGAAGGAAATGAAGGAAATATGGAAGAAATAGGAGGGCGTACGCAAAGTTAAACTGGCAAGAATTGTCAAAAACCAATGAAAACCAAACATTTGCCAACGATAGTTTTTTGGGAGGAAATGAAGGGAATCGGGAATATGAAGGAAATAGGGGAACGCACGCAAGGTTGGGAAAATCTCGAGGAGACAGTCAGCTTGAGCGCCATTTCGTTGGCTTTCCAAGGGAAAAATTATGGAAAACTTATTTTAGAGGTATTGGAGATGCCTGGCACCCCTCAAAAACAAAAGTGGGCAGCTGCTACAATCACAAAACAAACCCAGACATTTGCAAAAAAACAAAAACCAGTGACAACCAAATATTTTTCCTTGTCCCACTCAATTCCCACTAAGGCCACAACCACCGAACTAGCCCAGAAACTGGAAAAACATCCAAAACCAATCAAAACCATGTTCAACCAGTGGGTTGCTGAGAGGGCATTTGTTTAAAGATACTATTCTGACTCTTCTTGATCCTATCTGGTTATTCTTAAAATTGTTTAAATTTGTGCCCCAGCTCTGCAAGAAGGGAAACCTTTTTCGGCCGTTTGCGCGCAGCTGCTTACGATTACTTGCGTTTGGCTAGAAAAAGACTATACCGGTACCTTTTTGATGGAAATTATTCCAAATTTCCATATATCTCAGTGAGTTCTTGGAATATGTTTTTTTTTAACTCAAGGTAAGCCGGAATAATACTTTATTATTCTGAGGTATGTTGAGGGGGGTATCCCCTTAAGGCATCCCCAATATTTTTCGACTCATGGAACTCTTGTGATGCTGCGCTCCCAACTTTTATCGGGGCTTCCACTTCC